GTGAGTCAGTTAGTCTGTAAGTCAGTCAGTCTGTCTGTGAGTCAGTCAGTCTGTCTGTCTGTCAGTGTGTCACTCAGTCTGTCTGTCAGTCAATCAGACATTCAATGAGTCAATGAGTCAGTGAGTCAGTTTGTCAGTCAGTGAGTCAGTCAGTGTGTCACTCAGTCTGTCTGTCAGTCAGTCAGTCATTGAGTCAATCACTTAGTCCATCAGTCAGTCATTCAATCAGTCTGTCTGTGATTGAGTCAGTCTGTCTGTCATTGAGTCAGTCAATAAGTCCATCAGTCAGTCAATCAGTCAGTCAGTCGCTCGGACAGTGAGTAACTCATTCAGTCTGTCTGTCTGTAAGTCAGCCAGTCAGTCTGTCATTGAGTCAGTCAATCAGTCCATCAGTCAGTCAATCAGTCTGTCTGTGAGTCAGTCAGTGAGTCATTGAATCAGTCTGTCAGTGAGTCAGTCAGTCTGTAAGTCTGTCTGTCAGTGAATCAGTCTTTCTGTATGTCAGTAAGTCTGTCAATCAGTCTTTCAGTGAGTCTGTCAGTCTGTAAGTCAGTCAGTCTGCCTGTGAGTCAGTCAGTCTGTCAGTGAGTCACTCAGTCTGTCTGTCAGTCCATCAGACTGTCATTGATTCAGTCAGTCAGTCAGTCAGTGAGTCAGTCTGTCAGTGAGTCAGTCTGTCAGTGTGTCAGTCAGTCAGTCTGTCAGTGAGTCAGTCAGTTAGTCTGTCAGTGTGTCACTCAGTCTGTCTGCCATTGTGTCAGTGAGTCAGTCTGTCAGTGAGTCAGTCAGTCAGTCTGTCAGTGTGTCACATAATCGGTCAGTCCATCAGACTGTCATTCAATTCATTTCAGTTCAGTTTATTTATATAGCACCAAATCACAACAAATTTGTCTCAGGGAACTTTACAGGAACATTCACATACATAAAAGCCAATTAGTAAAGTTCACTATCTAAGGAATCCAGCAGACAAGTTGAATCTTGGCTTTGTTGCAGTCTCCCATCCTGAGCAAGCACATTGGCAACAGTGGAAAGGAAAAACTCCCTTTTAAAAGGATTGAGTCATTGAGTCAGAAAGTCTGTAAGTCAGTCTGTCTGTCAATTAGTCAGTCAGCCCTTCTGTCTGCCAGTCTGTCTGTCAGTCAGTCAGACTATAAGTCTGTCAGTAAGTCAGTCA